TGCTTTCCACTTTTGGAGCTCTAAATATTTAACAAATCCTGCTGCATTTCTTGCAAGCATCTTCAAATTGTGATGTTATTTGACAGGTTTTCACAAACATCATCAACTAACGGGAATTGTGATGTTATTTGACAGGTTTTCACAAACATCATCAACTAACGGGAAAAAGACGACCTCTGAGGTGGTGGGGCTTATAGTACCAATATCAAATTGCTTTGTTTCTACTAACACTGTATTGACGTTTTCTTTCTTTAATTTTCACGTTGACCAGAAGACATCAACTGAGGCGCCTCAAGATGAGCCTAAGAGTCAATGACTACTGGTGAGATATTCTTAAAATGAGAAATTATTCAATGGTCCTGATTCAGTGCATTATTTTACCCTTATATTTGTAGAGTAGGCACTTTGCTCACTGATCCAATGAGTAGACAGTGCTTTGAGCGCCAATAATGCAATGAACCTGGATCACTAGATACTTTCTCTTCTTAAATTCCTGATACCAGTTTTGTATATTGCTGTATTCTTTGCAGCAGGCAATGCCATCATCATCAGTGTAACTTTTCACAGGATTCTCGCCGCCCTTTCCAGCCGTGGAATCTGTAAGCTGACTCTTTAGAGACGTAAACATAGCATTGTTAATGTTGGCAATGGACATGTTTTTTTGTGGCCATTGCTCGTGCACTTGCTGTAGTTGTAGGATTATGTGCCAGCTGGCTGTTTGTTATTAGCAGGTAGGTACTAGTTTATTCGTCAACATGTCTACTTCCTTTTCTGTGAAATCGACTCTGATTCTAATGACTGTCAATTTTAAGAAGTCTGATTCAACTTGTTACTTATACACATGCGATGCTTCCGTTAGAGCTTATAAATTTGCCTGTGATTAGTTGTTTATATCGGACACATGTGATGCTCCTGTTAGACCTTATAATTTTTGCCTGTGATTAGTTTGCTCTTTGTTGAATCATAGACAATGAAGTGTGATGAATTGTTGGTCATGTCAATTGGAGAAAGCAATGGATGTGTGCTACATAGAAACATGACGAGTATGATGAGTTTCAGGATGTGTTAATTGGAAAAGGACAGGTAGGTACAAGATTTTAAGGTTTGAAGAAGCAGGTGTCAACTGAAGTTGAAATGAAAATGACCCAAAACCAAACCTCAGGACTAGAATGAAACATTTGTCTGGTTGCTAATAATATTAGCCAACTGTTACCAAGAAAAGGACAACGGTCGATTTTAACAGTTTTAAGAAAAATGAATGCAGTATGCAAATTGGCTTAAACCTTGTCCTAAATCTATTGAGTCCAAACCACTTGAGTACTGCAGGCAGATCTAGATGGGGATACGTTTGAGTTCTTGATTTTTTTGCAATGTAATTAAGTCTGATTGCATGAATTTTGTAGTCAAAAAGTGATGACTTGATCCCTTTGGTACCGTTTGGCAAAGGGTTAAGTGAGGGGTTAAGGAGACTTAACCCCTTTTTAACCCGCCAAACACAAAAACTCTATACAAAGGTTAAAGTGAGTTAACCTTTCATAATTTGCCAAACATAAAAAGTATAGAAGGTTTACGCTAACCCTTCTAGAGGGATTAAAATGAGTTAACCCCTCAAAATAAGGGGTTTACTAATATTCCTATTTAGAAGGATTAAGAGTTAACCCTTCTAATTATAAAGAAAATAGTTAAAATCATTGTTATTCCCAAACATTAAACTTGATCACAAAGGTTTAAATAAAACTTATTTAACGGGTTAATGTTTTAGTCCTTCAGATTATCGAATGGGCTAAGTACATTAATCATTCTCTTTAACCCTTTTTTCTTAACCCTTTGCCAATCGGGGCCTTTGAGAGTTACCAAACGCATGAGATTCTGTAGTCACAAAATAGGATGCTTGTCAAAATAAATTTTGATGACAATGACTTATTTCTCATGAGCGGAAAGCTCCTTTATCTTAGATGAATTGAATCGATTTCATTCATTTTTTTTTTAATCACACCATCATCTTCCGCCGCAAGAGGCTTTAGCAAAAATGAACACGAACCAAGTTAGTTACTTGAACAACTGAAAATGACAATCTTTATCGGTTTTTGAACAACTAAATATGACAATCTTTTCAGCTCAGGACTTAATCGGCTATAATAGCTCTTTGTGGAAACGATGTAAACTGGAATTTGGATCCTCTTCACTATTTTTAATACAAACCGATGATTATTTCTTTGCTATTTTTAATACAAACCGATGATTATTTTATGAACAATGATGGCCAATTGTAATCAGATTTAGATCCTGTCTACTGTAAAAAAAAAAGCAACGGAGAGAACACTATCTAATTACAACTATTGATTATATAGTCGGTGGTTATGTTATTTTATTTTTGAAGTACAAATTAAGAATGCGTGCAATATATGGAGGTAACAGTCGGTGTGAAATGTATCATAATCACTCATTGGATAATTAACGATTGTGATTAAAAGCACTAATCCCTCCGCATCTTTTTTGTAGTGAAGAAGATCCAAATTCATAGTAATCCCCATGCCAAAAATAATATTTACTATATCCTCATGAGTTGCATTTATTCCTTTATACGCTCAATTAAACATATCATAACCTTCCATTAATCAATCAACAGCTATAAAAACACTCAATTAAACAAATCATAACCTTCCATTAATCAATCAACAGCTATAAAAAAAACAATGGTCTCTCCACTATGTTTTCATAGTGAAAAGGATCCAAATCCAAATAACTGCAAGGTTAAGTTAAATAAGCACATCACCATGTTTTATCTACCAAATTGAATTACCACGAATATGAATATGTACCAAAACTAGGGGCTTTCTTTACAAAACAGACTTCGCATAAATTATATTGCACCAGAGTAATTCTACAGTGAACACTAATATAATTTCTCTACATTCAAAAGTAGTCTCTATTTGCCGTCTTCAAATACAAAGTAGCAAATACAACCGCATCTATCCTCCAGATTCCCTCCAAAAGCCCATTAGAAAGCTGAGAATGATCATTACTGCAAAATGAAAAGGCAACACTATGAGACCGATGGGTCGAAAACAGTTTCATGAAAGCTACAGCTCTATCTATAATCTCTGATCGTCTCAGACCTGCAAGTAGAAATTCTGAGTTCAACCAGAATCTTGATAAGACTGAGAATCCCCGCTTCTATTCGTGTCTTCTTTCTATAATGCAAGATTCAAGATCCTCTGCTTTTACTTCACTACCTCTCATAAGAACAGAAGAACAAGTCGATGCAATTAACTGGACAAAAGAATTTTCTGCTACAAGTGAAAGAGATGAATTCTGAAAGCTTTGTACTAGAACTTTAGGAATGGAGATTCTGTAGAAGCCCCACCTCCTCTCAAGGATAGAGTGGGGCCGAGGTAATTGGCCTTGCGGATAAGGCTAGGGTCTAGATATAGAACTACCACAGTGATGTCATCGTGGAAATGTCTTCTGACTCCACGATCGATCTTCTTTAAGTCAGAGTATCTCATCTCTCTTTTCTTTGCTGCCTCTTGCAGAGCAGTTTTTATCAATCTTCTCGCAATTCCCTGACCATGCATGATTAATGATGATTCTGATCAGCAAAAATCCAGATGGTTTTGGTAGTAGTAAAGCAAATTGTAATAAGAGAAAAAAGATCTTTAATAAGTGGTAAAGTCCATCAAACTATCAACAACTACTAAAAAAATCTACAATAAAAAGTACTAAAAACAAAAGAAAATAGTGATTGCCAAAATAAAGTAACCACATCCCTTTAAAAAAGAAAGGCAAGCAATATGCATATCATGAAAAGAGAAGAAAGGTAGAAGAATTATAAATCAGAACCTAAGACTCGCATCTTTTTTTATGACCAAGAGAGGAAGTATAATGTCGAAAAGATAAAGCATGTACATACAAAAATTCATTACAAGCAACGACAAAGAAAAGAAGAAAGACAACAGAACTGCAAATGATTTGTCAACACAATATTTCAGTAAGATCCAAAACTTGCAACATGAACCTTGCAGATCTGAGCTACCCCCCACCCCCACCAAAAAAAAGAGAGGAAGAAATAAAAGAAAACTTAATAAAAGATAAAATATTACTTTTCAAACAGAAAACAAGTTGTTCAACAAGCAGCAAAATACATAGTTATGAAATACATGTCATTTGATTTGATTATGAGAGGTAAAGTGGCTTTATTTTTTTCATTTTTTGATTAATATTAATCATAAAGAATGTTTTATCAATAGAATATGATGCAGAAAAGCAAGGGTAATTCTGAAAGTATAAAAGGCATTACAATACAGGTGCATGAAAAAGTTACTGCCATAAAATGAGAATATTAGGTGAAATAAAATCTTACATTACGAGGAGAGTTGTGAACTATATCCACAGCTTCTTGGTTGCTCAGATGTTCCCATAGACCATCAGATGCAAAAATGATAAACTGATCTTGCGGAGAGAGTTTATGTGTAGTTATAGATGGCTCGGCACTAAGGATTGACTTATGAAATGGTTGAGGAACCCGAAACCTTGCGAGTAGAGGCTGTCGGTTAAATTCTGCATCCTTTAGATAAGCATCCCCAATAGATCTCGAAATCTGCAGAAACCAATATTCAAATTAGAATAAACTAAGGTACATTACAAACTCCGATTCAAAGAAAATAACAAGTGTGCTTATGACTTATGATAAATCAAGAAAAAACAATTTGTAGGCTTCCCCCTTTAAGATCATACAAAAAACATACATTATAGTTGGCTATTTAATTGAGGAAGTGCACGTATTTCCCTCTAACGGTCTGGGTTCACAGTTTCAATTCCACGTCAATATATTAAATTAAGGTGCTAGTTTGGCTGGGGCTCACTGAATGATATAGTGAATAGTTTTAATCCTAGGACATGGAAGCAAAAGATGCACTTGGATGATACAGTTGGATAGTCCGCCAAAAACATCTTTCAGAAATTTAATATAATGTAGGGAAGGGTAAATTTCATAAAAC